GAGGGTCGGATATGAGTCAATCCCAACTTGATGGCAACAAAAAAGAGAGAGGGAGCATGATTTAGAGTTAGCGGTGTCCCCGGCAACATTTCTAAGTGCTTTTCATATATTCTGTCATTCAGTCCTCTCAGCGGTCCTAGGAGAAACTTTGCTGTTTCTAGATGAGAAGAGTGAGGTACAGAAAGGTTGTGGCATAACCAGGTTTACACGAGTGATAAGCTGGGATTTGAACCAGGCACATGAACTCCAGAGTGCAGACCTCCTTTTTTGGATGAGTCACCTCTCACACTTTCACGGAGGAGCCTGTCCTGGCGGACTTGTTGGTGAGAAAGAGCCAGAGCCGTCCTGGCACAGAGGAAGATGTTCTGCCTGAAGCAGGTGTGGTTTTAAAATCCAGCTGAAGGACAAAGAAGTGAGACATTTTTCAGAGTGTTTACAATGGAGAAAACTTGGAATGAACCTAAAAGCCCAACAAGAGGAGAATGACCGATTGAGCAATTTTGGAATCCCCACTAAGGGAAGTGCTACAGCCTCATACTGATTATGAAGAAAATGAAACATGGAGTAAGAGACTGGAGATTAGGCGAGTATCAGCCACAGTGTGCTCAACTCTCCTGATGCCACTAGCAGTGAGAAGCACGTTATCGGATACTGTCACAGTGAACCAGCTTCTTAAACAGAACATAATAACTTGAGTGCTTATTGGGTGCCAGGTATCGTAAAGGCACATTAGGTATCTCTGTCCTCATTTACAACAGAGAAACTAAGGCTCGGAAAAGCGACATCGCTGGTCCACAAGGCTTACGTAGCTGTACGGGATAAAGCCAGGACCGGAATGCAGCTATTTCCAGCACAGCTGGGATGGTTGGTCAAGTTGCCTGTTGCATAACCACAGGAGTTCATTGACATCATATTGGAGATTTAGAGAACGGATTGGTATTTTTCATTTCAAACCATCTCGGTCTCAGCTGTAGCCTATGAAAATGGCACCCCTGGAGTTGTACAGTGAACAACCTGTGCCACCTTACATGGTGTCCATGAGTATATCCAGTCTTACTCATTGGACTTTTAATCAGTGCCTCCCAAACAGAAAATGTTAATGCACACTGTAATTGGGGACATGTGAGGCAGACACATGTGGACATGTTGTTGTTAGGTGCTGTTGAGTCAAGTACAAGCCATAGTGACCCTGTGAGTAAAAGCTCTGAACCTTGATCCGCCTTGTGCCATCCTCATCATATCTGACATACTTGCGTTCATTGCTGCCATCACTGTTTCAGTCCTTCAGGTTGAGGGTCTTCCTCTCTTTCATCAACCTTTCCAAACATAATACTCTTCTCCAAGGAATAGCCTCTCCTAGCAACATGCCCAAAACGAACCTTTGTCATCATTGCCTCCAAGGATACACTTTCTCCAAGACATACTTGTTTGTTCGTTTGGCAGTCCATGGGATATTCTTCAGTACTTTTCTCCAGCACCACAGTTCAAAGGCATCAGTTCTTCTGTCATCCTTATTCCTTGTCCAACTCTCAGACACATAGCAAATGATTGAAAAGACCATGACCTGAATCAGGTGCAGCTTAGTTCTCAAACTGACATCAGTTTGTGGAATGGGTGAAAAGCAAACAAACAAAAACTAACCTCATCAAATGAAATGAACTGGCACGATGGGATTTAAGGATGATCCTTCTCCTTTCAAGGGTGCTTCTCTGCTGATCGTTGTTGTTTTATCTCTTCTTAAAAGAAAGAACAAGAGGAAAGGCCAGAAGAAAAATAGAGCACCTCTGCCCAGTTGAACATTCTGCAAGGATGGACATGTCCCTTATCAGCACTGGCCAGCGCGGCACTAGCCACGTGTGACTGTTGGGTCCTTGAAATGTGGCTAATGTGGCTGAGAAGCTGAATTGGCATTTCATTTTCATGAAATGTAGATTTAAATTTTTAATTTTAAATTTACATTTAGATAGATGTGTGTACCTAGTGGCTATCTATCTGGGCAGCACAGATCTAGAGAGCAGATTGGCAGCTTAAATTAGAGACAAAAAAAAATTTTCAATAGGAAAGAAGAAAATTCACAGTGGGCCCTCACAACAGACTTTACCTTGGCCTGCAAACAATTAACAAGGGCAGCTTTCCTCCAGAAGCCAGGCCTTATGGGGACAAACAATCCCAATTTCAGTTCCCACTTGATTGCTGTCTGGCTGTGTGACCTGGTTCAGTTACTTCACCTCTCTGAACATCATGCCCCCAGCTGTGAACAAACCTGAATAGCAGTGCTTTCTGCATTTTAGAAGGCAGAGCTTTTACCTGGTGTCAGGCACGTAATGAAAGCGTGTTAAGTGAGAGCAGGGAGGGAAATGTGGAGAGAAATGTTTCTGTCCTCATCACACGCAGGCTTGAGCTGTGGTAAGGACAGTGATGCTTTTGGAGTTTCACCGAGATGAGCCTCAAACTCACATTTTCCAGCATGCCCCGAGCCGACAAATGGGTCATAAAAAATCCCTCCAGCGATGCTCTAAAGGTCAGCCTCTCCGGTAGACCAGTGCTGCTGCTGTGGGGTCATAGGAGGAGGGGCTGAGCTCTGCCTTCGTCAGTGGGGGCTGACCAGGGGTCCCAGGGACGACCTGCTTCTTCTGAGGCTTGTTACCAACAAACAAAAACCTCTTGATTTTTCCATTCATCTGGTCCGTTAGTGTGGGGATGTGTGTATAGGATTCTGAGAACCGATGGTGTGCCTTCCAAAATTATATGCAAACCTTTGTGTGCAACAGTCTTTTCGGGGTTGGGTTCCATAGCAACCTTCAGATCCCTCAAAGCGCTTATGATCAGAACAGAGGGAGAATCGAGGAGCAAAGTCCTGTGTCTTATTTTGGGGAAAGGATAATGGTGAAAATGAGCCTGTGTTCCTGTTGTTAACATGTCTTAGGGAAGCTCAGCGTGTCCCATCCTACTGGCCTGTGAAGGGGTAAGATGCAGTCTTGCCCTCCAAGTGTGGACAGGGTAACCAAAGTGTGAAACCAATGCTAAGGGATGAAATCGCTTGACTAAGGGCACAAGGCGGCTGACACCCATGAGAGGCAGGCATCTGCCCTCTGGGAGGGCTGCGGGTCCTACCTGACTGCTGAGTAGGGAAGACACTTGTGTTCTCCAAGGAGCCTAGCAATAGAGGTGGGCACAGGTGCAGGAGAAGGTGTGTCCTCTGGCATCAGAACCCAGTGCAACCTGGGGTCCCACCGCCTTACCAGGGCCCTTAGGCAAGTCATTACTCTTCTCTGTGCCTCAGTTTCCTCATCTGCAAATTGAGGAACTTTGGCAAATACTCTCTTAGGCTTCATTTCAGGAGTCCTGGGGAAGACAAGAATAACAAGTTTGAGACCTCAGAGCTGTTTGTAGGTTTAGTTCAAAGCTTTAATTGCAAAATTCTTCTTTTAAAAAAATTTTGATATTTTAATAAAAGTTTATAAAGAACTTAAGTTTCCAATCGTTCATTGTTGCACATTTTCCTCCCTGACCCTCTTCCTCCAAATCACTTTTTTCTTTGGAAAGAAAGTTCTTTTGTTGTTATACAGTCCCCTATACCCACCCTAGACCACTTTACTATGCAGCTCTTATTCTGGACTCTTGTCATGCCAATAGTAACCTAGTTATATATTCCTTTTATACTGTTCTCTCCCTCATCTGTTTCAATGCTGTGTAGATTATTTACCCCCTCTTTTCTCAGTTTCCCCCGAGCCCCCATATCAGTCCTGTTTTATAACAGTGGCATTATGTCATATTTGTCTTTTCGTGACTGAGTTATTTCACTCAGCCTAATGTCCTCCAGGGTCACCTATTTTGTATAATAATTCATGAGTTCCTTGTTTTTCAATGCAGCATAGTATTCCATTGTGTGAATATGCCAGAACTTCTCTATCCATTCATTTGTTGATGGGCACTTGGGTCATTTCCAACTCTTTGCTATTGTGAGCAAAGCCGCAATAAACATGGGTGTGCAGATTGCAAAATTGTTAATAATTGAACCTTTTCTTCTTTTAAGCTGGAATGAAGTGTTCCCAACACACCTTCAGATATATCGTTTTTCTTTTTTCCCCTAGAATTCCAAATATGTATCATTTTTTTATATTTTCTTTCATATAAACTTACAGTTGGAACTTTACTGTATGTAAATGTATCTCAATTAAAAAGAATTTTCAAAAAAAGTCATTGGAAATGGACACAGTGTCTCTGCCAGCACCACCACTTACCTCCATGTCGCAGCAGGTGCTGGCTGCAGACTCTGAGGAGCCCACAAGCTCTTAAATGGCAGGAAAAAATCTCCACACTCGGTCTCCATGCAGTAAACACCTCCCTGGTCTGGAAGTGGTTGATGAGGACAGCTTTCTTCCTGAAACCAGCTTCTTATTAAAATGTAGCCTTTACAATCAGTTGGGCATGTGGCCGTCAACCTTAGATTAAAACCAGACAGGACAGTTGCCAACCCTCTTCTTAAACCACATTTGCCCCTTTTCTTCCTCCTCAGTGACTCCAGACTCCTTTGCTTACCCAGATGCACCTACTCCAGCCAAGATCTCTCACACTCCAGAGCTCAGTTTGGGGGACTTAGGAGCTAAAGGGACTGGACTGGCCAACTGTGATCAAAGCTGGCCAGAACTTTAAACCTCTGGATACTTTGTTGTTGTTGGGTGAGAAATGGTATCTCATGTGGTTTCGATCTCTATTTCCCTAATGGCTAATGAGGTTGAACATCTTTTCATGTGCTTCTTGGTAGTTTATATCATTCTTTTGGAAAGATATCTATTCAAATCAATTGTAAGGGGCCTTTATATAATGTAAATAAAAGTCCTTTACCAGATGTACACTTTGCAAATGTTTTCTTCCATTCAGTGGGCTATCCTTTTACATTTTTAGTGGAATTCACAAAGTTTTCTGTTTTGATTTTTCATGTTTTGCTTGTATCGTGGAGCGCTGGCCCCTCCACTGAGTTATCTTGGGATCTAATGATGCCTGAAAAAGGTATGCATAATCTTATGCCCTCTGCATTTTAGGAAGGTGCTCTCTTGGCCTAGTAGTGAAGAAGTTGTGCCACCAACCCAAAGACAAGAGGTTCAAATTTGTCAGCTGCTCCAGGGGAGAAAGATGGGCAGTCTCTTCCTGCACTATAAACTGCCTCTACAAATCCACCAGGGGGTCAACTATAAGTTGGTTCAGACTCAAAGGAACACAACAACAACATGCATTTCACCGGAGAGTTCTAGACCCAAGAGAACCCAGGTACTCCTTCTGGAATTCTGCTGAGATCGCTGGATATTGTAGAGGAGCCACCCAGTGGCCAGCTCTTGCAGATGCCTCCTCTTAGCCACACCTGGCTGCAGTGGGGGTGAGGGTGGGAGTCAGGCAGGCCCAGGCTGGGGTGGGCTGTGCCCGGACTTCTTCCTGCTGCACTGAGGCCTGTAAGACCACCGAGGCATGAATGGCCCCCGGGGGGAGTTCTCTAGCTTAGTCTCCACTCTGTCTTCCCCCCTGGCCTGCCTTCTTGAGATATTTTTCTCTTTCCTCAGACTGGTAGCTATAAAAAGGTGTCAGCATCTTGGGGTTTTGGTCAAAATTAATGAGGTGAAACATCCCTGGAAGGTGACAAAGTGGTAGTGAGTGGGAGCTGGACCTTGTTCCCCCTACACTCCCTGGGCCTTCCTCTCTCCCTCACATGGTTCAGCCGTGGCTCAGGTCGTCACAGGTTCATAAGAAAATCCCTAGACCCTTTGGGCCTGGAGTCAGCCCAGGACAGGACAGGGTGGGCCAGCTGTGAAGGCTTCTGCCATCCGCTGCCTCCTTGTCCATTGCTTTGATCATTCACGCATTCAGAAAGTTCATGGGGAGTCTGCTTTGTACCAGACTTTGTGATGAATCCCCTCCAGGAAACTGTTCTTGCTGAATATGTTCCATTTGTCCCAGGGAAACAGAAAAAGTTCTACTCTCTGTCCTCAAGGATTTCATGTCCAGTGTAACTGCTGGGCCAGTGACCCCACACTGGATGAACCTGCGTGACAGAGCAGGATGCAGAATCCCAGTTCTATAGGAGCTGAAGTCTGGAGTGGCTTCCTAAAAGGGGCAGCATACTTGTTGAGATCTGAAGGTGAGCCAAGGAGAGAGAAAGAACAGGCTGTCAAATCCAAGAACAGCAGAGGCAGCGTCCACAGGTGAGATGATATGGCTTTTACCTGGCTAACGCTCCAACCTTGACCAGCCACGTGACCCTCTGTGCTTCAGTTTCCTCATCTGTAAAATGGGGTTAAGAGCCACTCGTGTGGAGTTGTTTATGAGGATTAAATAAAGAATCTTCCATTACTTCCATTTCTCAGGTGAGAGTGGGTTAAAAGGTTTGCCCTGAGCCACTCAGTTTATGAGCTGGGCCTACCTGAAGTCCCTTTTGGGCCCTTCAATCACCAAGACTGTACTCTGTTCCTTCTGCCTTTTTGTTTCCTTTCGTTTTGGTGGTAAAATATACAGAACATAAAATATACCATTTAAACCAGTTTTTAAGGATACAATTCAGTAGTAGTAATTACATTCACTGTGTTATGCAACTACCACCATCTGTGTCTGGAACCTTTAATCACCTCTGACTTCTAGAACCTCTTTGCCCACTAAACAGTAACTATGCTCCTCTTTCCCCAGTCTCTGGCCATGTCTAGCCTACTTTGTTTTCATAAATTTACCTGTTCTAGATAGTTCCTTAGAAGGATCACATAAAATAGTTGTCCTTTTGAGGCTGACTTACATAGTATTTTCCAAGTCCATTATGTGTCACAGCACATAAAAGAACTCTAGTCTTTTTGTGGCTGAATAATCAGCTGTTGAATGAGTTGGTCCTATGTGCTGTCGAGTCGGCCATGGCTCATAGCAACCCTATGTGCACAATAGCTCTGAACCCTGTCCTATCCTGAGCCAGTCTCACTGTTGCCAACATACCCCACAACCCCAGTTACTGTGTCAATCCGTCTTATCCGGGGTCTTCCTCTCCTGAGCTGTCCCTTCACTGTTCCGAGCAGGATACCCCATATTTTACCTACCCAGTCATTTTTCCTTTTTAGATGAAAAGATTGATAAGATACTTGAATTGTTCTCACCTCTTGGCTATTCTGAGTAACAGTGCCCTGCCTCACTTCTTCTTTGAGGAGTTGATAAATTCTCTGCCAGATATCTCCCTGGGACATCAGCTAAGGCCTCTCTGTGGTTTAAACAGTTTGCACTTGGCCATCACTAAGGGAAACCTGGGGGGCGGGGGGGGGGAGGCCTGATGACTTGTTTCCATTCAAATTCCAGCCAAAAAGACCCCTCAGTTCTCTGTAACAAACAGATTCACGTAAGTTGGAATCTGCTTAATGACAAAGGGTTTGCTTTGGTTTTGGTGGCATTAGGAGGCGAAATGTAGGGTACTTACATCTTACATGTGCTTCCTGGGCTCAAGATATAATTTCCAGAATTCCAGTCTGAGTCTTTCTCCCAAAGCTCCTTCAAAAGAACCCACAACGCTACCGAGAAACCTCTAGGGGGAAGCTGATGTCTTTGCTGGCTTCCCCACTCCCACCCCACCTCCACTTCCTTCCTAAGATTTTCCCGGCTGTAAATGTTTCTGCAGCTCTCAGAGTCCTCTGATGAGGCCCAGTGTTAATTTGTTAAATCCACATCAAGGTCCCCAGGATCCCGTTGTTTATTTTTGTGAACGTGTTGGCAGAGATCACATTGGGGAAGAGGACCTGCTTATTTGGTCAGAATAAATGCTAATTAATAAGAGTTATTTATTTGGCTTGGAACTCGCCACAGCCCCAGGGTCAGGCACAAACTGACTATTTCAAGCAAAAACAAACAGAGAGTGTCTCTCAACAGCTTGAGAAAGGCAGAAACGAAGAGACTGGGTTTATTTGTCTTGGGAAGAATTTGCAGTTAATTCCCTCCAGACTATTTAGACCCTTAAATTACACAGAATAAGAAAAGCCGTGGGTATGGGGAGGGGAGGCGAGGACACTTGATCATTTGGCTGAGAGCAGTCTTGAAATGTCTTTGGCTGTCAGTTGAGCAAATCAATGGTATGTGTGAAATAATTTAATGACAGAAAACTGTGCACCAGTCATTTTTCCCCCTTCATTGTAATGCAGCCGAGGGCAGTATAGTTTGGGTTTTGAGAGAGAAAGCGAGAGACCAATGCATGGACATACCTTCCCCATCTGAGTATGTTTCCAGCCCCTCACAACATATCATCTAAACAGCCAGTTTGAATGCAGGCAGTTTAATGGTTTCTTTTGAATCTCAGAGCAAAGCGAAACATTTTTGGTAATTTTTTTTCTTTTTTAAAATTGTAATGAAAATACCCCTGGAGGACATTATGCTGAGTGAAATATCTCAGTCACAAAAGGACAGATAGTGCATAGGGCCACTATTGTAAAACGAGACTAGCATCAGGGTTGAAGGAAGACAGAAAAGGAGGGGAGGAATGCTGTATATTGCGTTGAAACAGATGAGGAAGAGAACTGTTTAAAAGGGATATATGAATGGGTATGCTTGTCATTACAGAATTCCAGAGTGAAGGCTGCATGGTGGAGTGGACTTAGGGGGAGGGATTGCATAACAATGAAAGAGTTTTTCTTTCTTTTCAAGGAGAAGAGTGAATGGGGGGGAGGGGGTGGATAGGGAGAAAGTGCAACAATGAATGATTGGAAACCCCAAGTCTCTGTAAACTTTCATTAAAATTAATTAAAAACAAAAAACAAAAAAATTGTAATGAAAATACATACAACAAAATACAGACCCATTAAACAACTTCTACATGTATAATTCAAAGACATTGATTTCACACATCAAGTTGTGTGGCCTTTCTTGCTATCCTTTCTCAAATTGTTCCCACCAACATTCACATTAACTCCCTGTCTCCTAAGTAAAAGCTGTCCCATTTCCTCTTCTTCCTACCCACATAAACATTGATATTTGGTTTCTGTGTATTTGTTCAGGGAAATCTGGTGGCTTAGTAGGTAGTGAGTTGTGTTGTCAACTCAAAGGCACACAGTTCAAACCCACCAGCTGCTCCAAAGGAGAAATAGGGTAATCTCCTCCCATACGCAGTCTTCTCCCTTGAGATTTATAGCCTCTGTAAACCCGCCAGCACGTCAGCTATGGGCTGGTTCCTGCTTGAGTTGAACTGAGTTGCTTAGTGAACTCTGGTGACATAATCTGTTTGGAGTTGTTGCATTGCCAACCCAAAGGGGGCCTCTCTCTGGTGGTGTGAATCCACCAGCAGCAACAAGAGAGAAGGATGTTCAATCTGCTTCCACACAATTTTCAGCCTAAGAAACTCGGTGGAGGATCAGCTATGAGTTGATTCCAACCCATCGGTAGTGAATGAATGATTTCTTTTCTTTTATCAGCTAAGTGAGATAATACAAAATTTGTCCTTTTGTGGCTCATTCACTCAGCATGATATTTCCAAGGTTTACTCTGTGCTGGCACCTATCAGGGCTGCATTTCTCTTTATGGCTGAGTAATACCTGGGAGGCGTATTTACTACATTTTGTTACCCATTCATCTGTCAGTGACCATTTCAGTTCTTTCCACCTTTTGGTTATTGTGGAAAGTGCTGTCATGGGCCTTGGTGAATATGTGTCTGCTCCTTTGACTGCTTAGAAAAATCAGGATTGTTATTGAACCAAAGGAAACTTTGGGCATCCTCCTCCTTGAGTGCTGAGAGGGGAGCCATGAAAAGGGAAAGACTGGATGCCAAGGGCTTGAGGCTTGAACCCACTGCCATTCAATCATTTCTGACTCACAGTGATCCCCTGGCAAGTTTCTAGATTGTAAATCCTTGCAGGAAGAGACTGCTCACCTTTCTCCTGTGCAGCAGCTGGCAGATTCAAACCACTGGCCTTCTTATTAATAGTGCAGCACATAATGCATTATGCCACCAGAGCTCCAAAGCGTTTATTTCTTTTCTCAGTGCTTTAGGTCTAAACCTATCCATCACA